AGAAACTACTTCTATGTTCTTCAATTGTATGGGAAAAAGTTCTCCTTGTTTGGCCAATATGGGCCACAAGTCAACTTATATACTCCTGATCTGTCCTACACTGAAATTTCGTCATTATTGTTTTCAATAAATCTGACTAGAATATTATTTGATCTCTAAGCCATGTCCAAGCATCCTATAGCGTTCGCTATCGTTTCTTGTATTTGGGTAGATCCGGTCCATGGCTTTCCAAAAAATTTCAGTATGTATATATAGACTCCCAATCTTGATTTTTATTGAATCACCGAAAGGAAAATACCATGAATGAAGGATGCGAAGAACAATCCTTGATGAATCGCCTTACCTCATTTTGAGAGTTCCAGAATATTACATGAATTCATTAATCTGTTCGGGATAAATCATCTGGATATTTTAAGACCGATTTCGATGCCAACCGAAGCGATTGTCGGCTTCACGGCCTACTTCGAATTTGAAACGATATAGGAGTGAGTAGGGCAGTGAATTAACTTTGAATTCGTATGGTACAATGACAAACATGAAATATTGTTTCCGTGAATGAAACCGACGGATTTTATTTTCAAAAATACTCCTATAATTTAAGAAATGTGTTCAAGTAACACTTTATCCTGAGATTTTCACTGAACAGTAAGGTTTTCTAGTTCATCCAGTGGAAATTTCACAATGACGTGTTGGATACGTTATGAATGTTCATCGAGTATTGCTCAATCCCATCAAATACGTTGGAATGTTTGAAATATCCATGTAAACGTTGATTCAATGAATTGATCCTAGTTCTCATTTGATAAATTTTGAGTGAATCTCTGAAAAATTATTATTATTAATACTACGACACAGATGTTAGTAATATTCTTGTAAACATACGATCTATCAACTGAAACCACAAATGTGCGGCTGGTTTCTGCTGATGGCTCCGTGAATTTTTAGTTCTTTCGACAACCAAGTGTTGTCTATCCTTGCACTTGGCTGCACCATACTGATGATGGGTCAAAAGCCCGAAACACGTGACTATGGTTTGCCACTTTTTGAGTGCTATGTCCGATAAATCATCTCCTGTAATCATATAAAGACACCCAATAATCTTTAACTTGAAATGATGCCGCCAACTTCGACCCACTGACGTTCAGTGTTTGTCAAATTCAACTTTTTCTTTGAAAAAAATTGAAAAAGTGCATTTCTAGATCGAATTTGACAAAAAGTTACTTGAAAAAGTTGTGTCTACGGCAATTTTATATCCATATGCCAAATTTTATGCAACTAGGATAAAGTTAACGTTTTGCCTATTTTTGACAGATATCCCCTTTATTTTAAAAAACAAGTTCGGTTATTAATAAATCGGGGATTTATATTTGCACAGCACTCGCGAATGGTATTTTCCAGATGTTGTATGTCAGTGAATGGTCTACTTCGGTACACTTTTTGGTAACCCCACAAGAAAAAGTCTAAAGGCGTCAAGTCGGGTGATCTAGGAGACCAGTAATGTTCCCAGTTACCTCCAATAACTTTGCCTCTGAACATTTGTTGAAGGGACTGTTTTACAGCAATCGTCTGATGTATTGGTGCGCCATCAAGCTGATACCATAGGTCGTATTTAATATTTGAAGGCATATTATCTAAAACTTCACTAACCTCATTATTTTTTCCTGGATACCGTTCATTAAAAATGTTAGCTATTTGCCGGTATGGTATATTCTCACCACATATTAAAACTATTTCTATTCTTTCCTGAAGAGACAACATTTAACTGTTAAAAATTTGACAAGTAAATCAACAACTTGACACTACCATAGCATGCATTTTGTTTGTCAAGACCTACTTAAAAATTTTATTCAACGTGATTAAGCATCCTTACCGCCCTAGTTTGTGTTTGTGACGTTTGTTTAAGAAAATAGCCAAGTGATTGAAACTTCGCACCAGTCATGTTAAAATTTTTAAAGCAAATTTTTAATTTCTCTCTAAAAATGTCCGTATGAGTAAAAATGTATCAGAAAAGTTAAACTCCATGATGAGTTTGTTATGTATACATGAATTGATGACAATTAACCGAACTTGTTTTTTAAAATAAAGGGGATATCTGTCAAAAATAGGCAAAACGTTAACTTTATCCTAGTTGCATAAAATTTGGCATATGGATATAAAATTGCCGTAGACACAACTTTTTCAAGTAACTTTTTGTTAAATTCGATCTAGAAATGCACTTTTTCAATTTTTTTTGAAAGAAAAAGTTGAATTTGACAAACACTGAACGTCAGTGGGTCGCAGTTGGCCGCATCATTTTAAGTTAAATTTAAAGCACAAACAAGTGCCCAAGTTAAACTTCATTGAAACTAGACAAAAATTGTACCAAAGCTCAACCTCGCGGTCTTATTGGGCCATCTTTTCTGTTTATTCATAAGTTTAAATATTACGATGTAAACACCACTTATGTATTTCTGTGCATTTCTATTTTGATTGATTTCTATTCGAATAAACGTTATTATTATTATTATTATTATTATAACATTAATATATCGTAATATCATGGAATTGACTTTTTGAAGAGGGATTAAGGTTATGGGATCATGAATTGAGCATGGATACGTATTGATTGGTATGATTATTGGTACCTTTTTCCCGAAAATAAAGAAATTTTCCATCGAAAACCACTGAATTCTCACTTATTTACTACATCACCAGAAAAATCATGAAAGAGTCTTTTACTCTTTCTGAGCGATTTTCTTCAGAATGGCAATTTATTCAAGTACCATTCTATGTTTTCTTCGACAACTCAACTTGTTTTCTGGAAAAGAAGAAAGTTTGATCACAGTTGCTGAACAATTTGTTCAGAACGACTGTGAGAGATCTCAGATTCAAACACCATGTCCCGCTTCCCCCTACTCATTTATTTTCCACTCAAGTGGGAGTTGTATCCATTGCACTCTGAATATAAGTTCTCGCCTTTCCAAAAAGCAATTTTAAATGTAGCGGACAGTCGTGTATATTCCAGAAAATATAGAAAACCGCTGTGTTTTGGAGTTTGAAATTTTTATAGGGTATGTCATTCTGTTTTTTACATTAGCATATTTCCTTGGGTCGTTGTCACAGATGAAGGATTCATAGATGTTTGTACTGATTATTTATTCGAAATAATATAATTGGATTGATTATATTATGGATATCTTTTTTGAAGTCACTATTGTGGTGGTACTGATTTTTCATTTTTGTAGTCGAATTTAACATATAGCAACCATTTGATTATTCTATTGGATACTTTCATATACTTCATATCGTTTGAGGAAGAAAATTTATAATATAATTTCGGTATGTTTTAAGAAACTTCTGGCACCTACATAATTCAAATATTTTTTTCTGACTCAGCCCAATTTCTCCCACATTTCAATTTTTTCTTTTATTAGATTCTAAAAATATGAAATCGTATACAATGTTATTTGTTTTTATAAAGAATTCCTGTGTATATCATAACAACATTTTCTGAATTATTTACACTTTGAAAATTCATTTTGAAATACAAACTTTGGTAGTATTCATGAATATATAATATTAAAAATAAATTTTTATATTGAACAGAATAGTTGTTTCAGTGGAAAATTAAAAGTTTCAAATTCAATTAATGGCATTTCAGTTCACTGGTGAAATATAAAAAAATCCGGATATCTCGACTGAATAATATTTCATTCATGCGAATGATTTCAAAGAAGAAGGAATTCAGAGAAAAATAGAGAAAATTTTCTTCTTCATTAATTTTCAAAAGTGTTTTTTTCAATTCCTAGATCCGTTCAAACTCCGTTTTAATTTTTGGATCATCTTGTATCTATTTCAGTCAACATCATGTCATTATTTTTATTTAAAGCATTGTTCGCCTTCCCTAACTGTATCATTCAGAAAATCATGTTAATCTATTATTTGTTAGGAATCACACGTTGAAAGGTAAGACCTCGTTAGTCCTTAGCTCGCACAAGTTTCGAATCCTGAGGGTTGTCGTTCGTAGGGGTGCGATAGCTGGTTAACGGAAAAAACAAACACAATACATATTTCACTCTTTCGAAAATTGTTTTCATTTTATAATTAAAATAAAGTTGCAAATTCCAGAGTTATTGAAATGTTTCAAAATTTACTATTTAAATGATTATGAAGAAAGATAAGTAAAGTTGTCTCCGAAAAGCCTAACTTATACCGGTTTTTCCGGTCTATGAAAAATTGAAATTAGTGATGATTTCTTGACGAAACGTCGAATTGAAAATCTCCAAAGCTATATTGTACAGCATGAAAAGTGGTAATGGAAAAGTGTAACTCGTTTTCAAATATCTCTTAAAATAATGTCAGGAAAAGTAATACGAATATGGCAAATTTCTGGAACAATTGTTTTTTTAAATTCAGAACATCATCTGAATGATTTTCAAAATGGACACTTTCTTTCTGATTTAACCGATTTCTCCATGCTGCCCTTCAATTTGTATTTTTAATAGTGTGTATGTTGATTTTGATTGGTTTTTTCCTGAATGATGATTATGCTTATCCTAATATGTTTTTGGTCATTTTCTTCATTTTTTGCATACTCTGAATGCTACTGCTGAACGGGATATAAGTATTTCCAAAACTGGTTTTGTTGTCAGTTTTGTATATGGGCTTCGAATGCTAATTTTCTCTTAATCTTGTGGAGGGATATTTCTATTCTTATCCCTCTCCTTTTCAATCAGTTTCGTCTTCTTCAATAGCTTTTTTAGTTTCATCCACCTCTTCCACATGGCTATATCATCCACTTCTTGGTCTTTCTTTTCATCAGTTATGCAGTTTTTATGGAAATTTTCATATTCATATTCATTTCATATTCGAATCCTAACCTGTCTTCAATGTCTTCCCAAATTAATCTCTTTTTTTACGTGATTTATTGGCATCTATGAAATCAAGGTATGAGATTGAACTTTATCGACTTAGCACTGTTGAAGTATATGAAACCCATTGTGAATATTTTTTATGTCCAGGTGAATCCATTATACCAAAAATGGCCAAAACCGCAGCCATTGGCATTGATCTTGGAACCACTTACTCCTGCGTAGGTGTTTGGCAACATGGTAAAGTGGAAATCATCGCCAACGACCAAGGAAACAGGACCACCCCCAGCTATGTAGCGTTTACTGACAGTGAAAGACTGATTGGAGATGCTGCCAAAAGCCAGGTAAATGATAAATTTCCACCAGAATCGGAATTTGTACTTCGATGACACTACTTATTTTTTCAACGAAAGTTCAAGCCCAGAATAGTACATGTTATCATGGTAGTTACGAGTCAATAGTAGAGAGGGTTGTGGAGATATGATTGGAGATATCATTGGAGATGTGACCATAGTCACTTTGATTTTTCCAGAACTTTCGAGTACCTACATTTGAAAAATTTCAAGAACTTTTTAAAAAATTCAGATATATTCCAGTCCTAAAATTAGCTCTGATAGTCAAATAATATTCTTGATCAGGCTGGAAGTTTTGAGAACTTTCTGAAAAGTTGTAATATTACTTTTATTGTCATGATTGAGCTGAAAATGAATCTGATAGATTCAGAATGCTACAGAGCGTTCATAAAAGTTCTAATTTTCATTTCAAAGTCATAAATGAGTCGACAATGATTTCAGTGTTTTCAGAATGTTCTAGAATTAAAAAAAATTCGAGAGTGTGTGAAAGTTGAGGAGTTCGTTCTCATATCTCTGTAGCCGAAACCACTGATCGCATAAAAATGGAGTAGAGTGTAGAGTAGTAGGTGTCAAGGCCGTGCCCAGATTTTTGTTTCGGGGGGGGTTCTCAATGAGAAAGATCTGCTAATTCGAATTTACAATGAGAAAGATCTGCTCATTCGAATTTAATCAATTATCATTACATTGGCACGGAAAAAGCCCTCCACTGAAAAAACTGTACTAACATATCCGTTTCAAAACTGAAATTCCTCAAAATTCCAGTTTAATAAATTCACGATACAAAATCAAACCTTCTAGACTTTTTATGGGCAAATTCTGTAATAAAATCATCAGCTGTAATGATGACATCTCTGTGAATTGCTATTAGGAGCAACCCGGCCTCTAAGGGGGCGGATCCGGACCTAGCACGGCCTTGATAGGTACAAAACTAGCAGTGTGCGTTAGGGTTATAGCGAGTCAAAAGCTAAGAGTATGATGACGTTGTCTCAACTCCCTACACTGTATGTTGATCGACTGACACCTATCAAAGAACAACTACACCCCTGGCTAATACTATGATATATATGAATTATACCCGACAGGTGTCAGTGCAGGATTCTTCACCGAAGTTATTCCTGCATATTCTGTTGGTGTTACAACTGTCGCAATACATTTTCAATCATTGGAACACACTTGCAGACCGGTTTCGGGCTGTTTGGCCACTCGTCAGTGCAGGGCAGTGTCTACCATCAACATAAAGATGACGGTTTCCAATAATTGAAAATCGAATTCCTTCAGAGTATCATTCCGCGAACTAGGCTGAAGCGGACAACAAACAACAGGTTTGTCATCGCTCAATCTGCCTGTGAACGAGGTAACCGACCGCATATCCGATATTTGCCCAATCCCTCGTATAAGGAAAGAAAACTTTTCACATATATGCTAACAACCTAATAGTTGTTCACTGTGAGGCAAGGCTTGACGTTGAACATTAAATGAGAAATTGCTTCACGTCTCAAAAAGCTAGTCCCAATTTTATATTTTTCAGATACTTGTTGATGTTGAAATAGAGCTGTTGATCACATTTAGAAAGACTTCAATTTGGCTAAATAGTCAACAGGTGAATCGATTTGAGATGATTGTTCAGATAATCTGCTTAATATTTTCATTTCAATCTTGAATGACTTTGAGATGATTCAGGAGGAACAAAAAGTTTACGAAACATACATTAAAATAAAATTTGAAACATTTGTAGGGCTTGAATATAATAATGAACTGCTTCCCTGAACTGATTGCATCTAACAATTTCGCAGAAAATACTGGATTTTTGAAAGATAAAGTATTTGAATTAAAACATGGTATAAACAGGGATATTTTCTCAATTTAAAATCTGGAGATTTGGTATATTCACCAAATGCTATTTTACAGACACTCATGAAATATGTCGAAGAATAATGAAGAGATTCAGATAACTTGATAAATATTCCAATCCTCTATTTTTTCAAATACCTTCTTCATCATTGCTGGTTGCGCCACTTAATTCGAACCCATCGTATTCTTGGATATCAACTGGATATTTCAGTAAATAACTTTAAATCCATTCCCAAAAGATATCTTGGAAGAATATCAGACAATATGGTATAACGTGCTAAGAATCGCACGCTACAAGGCAAATCCTTGTTAATCCTTGGCTCGCACAAATACAGATTCATTACCATTCAGATAGATAGATAGATAGATAGATAGATAGAAATTTATTGATCAGACACCAATTAAACATTGGATTCACAAGTCAAAATACCATAGTTACATTTTGATTATTGCTAAAATAAAATATAAAAATTATTAATGTCCGTAAAATATAAGACTATCCAATAGAATTAAAATCGTCAATGAGACTCTGACACCATATAAAATGCATTCAGGAGCAGAAGAGATTTCAGTTTAGACTTGAATCTGAACAGGTTCGACTTGATTTTCAATTCATGGGGTAGCAAATTGTAGAAATTCGTGATTGTAATTGTTGTATGTGGTTAGTTCTAGTCTAAATTTGTTTTTTATTTGCGAATTACGTAGTTGTGAAATTTTGAATTTCAGATGAGACTGTTTATGTGAATGTAGGTGTGAATCAGAAGTTTGTATAAATAAATACTCGTGAAAGTTAAGAGATTTTTCTGTTTGAAGATATTTCTGTAGGATTCTCGATATAATCCAAATGGAACATCAGGCAAATCATCCTTTTTTGTGCTAAAAAGACTCTGGTACTATCGGTCGCCAAACCATAAACTACAATGTTATAACTTATAGTCGAGTAAACCAATGCATAGTACACAGAAATTATACCCTCCGCATCAAGGTAAGATTTTTTATTGCGAAGTAGTGTTTATTCAGTTTGGAACAGATCATAGTGATGCATTTCTCCCATCTGAGATTGCTGTCAACAATTGTACCTAGAAATTTGCAACTTTCTTGAAATATTATTGAGTGATTATTAATGTTTATTTGTTCTGTAGAAAGTTTTTCTGTTTTGCACCTCTGGAATTGAACCGCAATGGTTTTGGAATCATTTATGATCAAACGGTTCTTCTTACTTCAATTATCAAATTGGAGAATAACGTTATTTGTATTTCTGAGTAACTCATTTAAATCTGGGCTGGATACTATTATAAATGTATCGTCTGCGAACATATAAACCTCTCCGTCATTTATGTAATCAGGAAGGTCGTTGATGAACAATAAGAAAATTAAGGGGCCGAAAACGCTCCCCTGGGGAATACCAGTGTCTATTAAGTAATCAACGAAAGTTTATTCACTGAACAGCTTAGTGTGATCCCCTATAAATCCAAAGAATATTCTCTGAAAATGAAACTACCATCCTTCAAATATCCGCCAATACAATGTATGTATGTCCTTTGGACATTTTCATTGAACGTGAATTTAAATATTTTATCCTGGACCCCATTGAATATATCCATAATATGAACGTACTGGGCACGTAGGTACTTACATTTCTGTAACTAATTCATTTGTCAATTAGGATTGTCATTCATTTGTCATCCGTGACCTGTGAAATTGGGTTCTACAAGAGGCATGTCAGATTTCAATGACATTCAAATGTTTCTGATTGCGAATGTTTCGTTGAGAAACCTCGTTTTATTGTGCTGTGTGATGTTTCAAGTGGATATTTAATTGGATTGTAATTATTGTTGAAATGAATATTGGTTGTCAAGTACATTCAAACTGCCGTAATATGTTCATATTTGGAGTTCTAGTAATGTAATAAAATCATCAGCTGTAATGATGACATCTAAGTCGCAGAGGGTCAAATCTGGCGAATAAGATGGCTAAAGCATGATTACTGTGTTGTTTTTGGCCAAAAAATTGTGAACAAGCGATGATCCAAAGTAAGGTCCAAAGTAAGTGGGTCTATTCGACCGTCCAACGCAACCCGCAATGGTTTATTGTGGCTTACACCTATTCACACTTGACCAAATAAACCCAGCTTTTTAAAGAAGCCGAAGTTTTTCAGGTCAGATTGTGAGAGTACGGCTCTGCCGAACTGTAAAACCTACTTTGTGCCTGCCCAGCCTTCCAGGCAGGTATGGCCAGGAATCCAGACCAGAGACAATCTTCCTATCGAGGACAGTCGTTTTTGGCAATTTGCTACCAATTTAGACGTTCCTCGGTAGGAGCCAAGAGCTACCAACGCCGCTTGGCTGTCCGACAATATTTTTATTGACTTGTGTGTGAGGTTGGATTCATCCAATCTCTCCGCACACAATTCAATAGCGTAAATTTCCGCTTGAAATACAGTCGCATAAGTTCCTAGGAAGGTTGATATCTCTGTCCTGGGTCTACGAATAAAAACACCTGCACCAGTACCGGAAGGTGTTTTTGATCCACCTATGAACCAAATCAATCAAAACAAATCAAATTTATTCAATTCAGATTAACATAAAATATATACCATTACAGCTTATTTTACAGAACTATAATTTACATCTATGAAGGATCGTGGCTATCTAAGCCGAGTTTGTGTTACAGTCATGAATCCAATACATTTGCAAACCGAGATTAAGCTTCTAATTGGGTCTGGGAAGTCCTAGAAGGACGACCAAAATGATGAGAAGTCTTTGAGCATAATAAGAGGTTCAAATACGAAAGAAGATACAGAAACAACAGCTTGTGACATTGTATTGAGTGATTGCTGTATGGTGAATTACAGATTAGAATAGAATAGAATAAAATAGAATAGAATAGAAGTTTATTTAACCACATTACACTTTACATGTTTGTAGCAAGTCATGACAAATTTGTTACATATGCTTACGCACAGCAAAAGTAATTTCATATCGGATGAGTATAAAATATAATTTAAGATAAAAAGTAGAGCAACATAAAGATCAACATTAAAAACATTAAAAAACAACATGGTATAGCATATTTACGGTAGTCAGATGAGTATGTTGTTTGTATGTTGAGACTTAGGAGCGATTTTTAAAATACCCCAGGTAATCAGAGACACAGTAAAAGCAGCCCTCCAATAGTAGTTGTTTAATGGATTGTTTGAATTTATTCATTCTGAGATCTTTCAGCTTGACTGGTAAACAGTTATATAAGTTGTAATCCAAAGAATTTTTCAGTGATTTAGCTAGGCGACATCGATTTGTACAGATCTTTTCAGCGTTTCTCGTACGGTACTGATGAATATTAGAACGTTTAGGTAAGGTACTCGCAATTCTGTGGATTTCTAGCAAAACATGAAAATGAATAACGTTGGTACAGGCATGATACCTAGTTTTTTGAAAATTATCTGACACGGATCCCGAAAACCTACATCTGCCAATATTCGAATGGCTCGTTTTTGTAACCTAAAGATATTGAGAGAACCAGGTGAGTTTTCCCAAAGAACAAACCCATAACCAATGTGAGAATGAAAAAGCGAATAATGAGTAATTTTCAATAGAAGCTGGTAATATTTTGAAGTTGTCGTAGAACATAAATAGTGCTGGATAACTTGCTCCTGAGCTGATTTGTATGTTGATGCCAAGATAAGGTATTGTCAAGTGTTATGCCAGGCAATTTCACGCTACCATTTGTATAATTAGTCAACTATCTAGTATTGTTTCCAATCTGTGGTAGTTGTGATTGATAAATGTTTTCCATTCTATGACAGCCAACATAGGCTGTCCATAGTATAGTATACAACGGAAAGTATACAGTTTTCATACACTATATAATCCACTCTCCTCATATAATGTTTGAGTATTATAGCATTCATTCTTACTGAACATAATTTTTATGAGTGAGTTTTCGATCATTTCTAAATTACGTAAGGAAGATTTGAATATTTCTCCCCATATTATTAGACAATAACGTAAAATGGACTCGGCCAGGGCATCACATACAGTAAGCAACATTTTTCTACTGACTATACTTCTGAGCTGATAAAATTTGTAAGTGAGCTTAGGTAATCGTTTCACCGTATAGTCAATATGATCCTTCCAACGGAGGCACTGCTCCACTAAGACCCCTGAGTATTTTATTGTATCAGTTTTTTCTATGAAGGGACAAGTGCAAGGGAGTTTATCGTTTTGTCAAGTAAGTTTATGGATTTTAATCTCTAATAGTGGGGTGAACCAACAACTATCTGCTCTTAATAGTTGCCAAGAACTCCTAATGCATTACGCCATGGCACCATGAACTCTCTCTGTAATTCAGTTTATAACTCCTCAATTGTCGCAACACACCGGCCTTCCATAGGTCTCTTCAATCTCAGGAAAAGTCGCAGAGGGCCAAATCTGTGAATTGTTTTTCTTTCCATTTCAGATATGGATTTTAATCTCTAATAGTGGGGTGAACCAACAACTATCTGCTCTTAATAGTTGCCAAGAACTCCTAATGCATTACGCCATGGCACCATGACCTCTCTCTGCAATTCAGTTTATAACTCCTCAATTGTCGCAACACACCGGCCTTCAATAGGTCTCTTCAATCTCAGAAAAAGTCGCAGAGGGCCAAATCTGTAAATTGTTTTTCTTTCCATTTCAGAGCTTCCTTTAGAATGACTGATTGCATTTATATTGTTTTTAGCTTCGTTAACTGCAGTGACACATCTTGAATTTTCTCTTGTTAGCTTCACATAGCTGAAAGTGGGTTATCCAACCAAATATTTGTTGCTAGAATATAGACAACTCCAGAAGTTTTCGGGGTTGTTAAAACTGTGGTTCCTCTGTTTCATTTCGTTACACGAAATTCCAAATACAAACTCTTCACGCTTAAATCCTATCCACCACAAATCCCTTTCAAATATACACCCCAACATTTCATTGTATTTATTATTGGAAGATATGAATACTTCGGGAAGCTCGTATATATAATTTATGTATTTTTAGAATCAATGTTTCAGTTCGAAACTCAAACTTCTCTACATACTAGAGAAATTATAGAAGGATAAAATTAGACATCTTGGTTATATCGATGTGAAACGTCATACTGATTGGATCTATGCCAAATGAAAAGATTGGATTTCAGATATTAAGAGTGAGAGTGTTGTTTTTCTTTCTCTCATACCCGACGTTGATTATGTAAAACTTCCAACGGAATTAAATTCCCCACACCCCAGTTCATTGAAAACATTCCTACCGATGACAATTTCGTTATTGGAGTTGATTTCATCAGGAGGTGATTGTAACTCTGGACCAACTAGATCCTAAAGTTCAACCACGTTCAACCACCACGAATCTTGTAACAATCACTCAATGTATTGCAGATGGTATTGATTGTCAGCCTCAGACTGATGTCATCTACACTGATTTTTTTAAAGCATTCGACAGACTCAACCATAGTATCCTGCTCAATAAGCTTTGGACTTAATTCGAATTAATTACCCTCTTCAAATCGTATTTTTACAACCGTGAGCAGTAAGTCCAACTCAATGGCCTCAAGTCTATCGACTATATAGCCACTACTGGTGTACCACAAGGATCAAATCTAGGACCCCTACTGTTCAATATGTTCATTAATGATATCGGAGCTGAGATTGATGTCAATTTCCTTTTATACGCAGATGACTTGAAACTCAATCACAATATAACATGTTCTAATGATTGCGAACGTCTCGCCCTGAATTTAAATCTCGTTGCTACATGGTGCCGGAAGAATAATGTATCTCTTAACATATCCAAATGAAATGTAATGTCTTACTCACTAAAAACGAACTTGAATTTACACAACTACGTCATTGAAATTACATTATTTCACCTTTGTTCGATCTAGGCTGGAATATGCATCTGTCGTGTGGAGTCCATACATTCAGGTTCATATAAATCAACTAGAAGCCCTACAGAGGCGCTAAAATATATTATCACCTGCTCTCAACTGTTACATATGTTGAATTTTTGGGTTCCTAGATGGTCATCTAGGAATAGTGTCACATTTTATCTCAACACTCCGCGTACAAATATAATGAAAAAACTCTAATTTATACAGTGTGCGATACCTCATGTTAGTCATGTCCTAGATATATACAACTCCCAGATTATACAAATCAAAAGACATTTCTCAGCTAACTGACAGTTCTGTTTTTTATTTTTTTATATAGATTCACAAATTATATTATGTAAGTACATATTTGTAAATGCCACTGTTACTCTCTATTCTGTAATTGGGTTCATCCTGTGGAATAGTGTATGAAATAAATGAATAAATTTGAGTGGAGCATTCGTCGAAAACTACATCAATCACACTCAAAAAAAACGTAGCAGATAGATCTAGTTTAGAGACTGTTGAAACAAAATAGGACCCAGAAATTTGGATTTTCTTAAAACGTGTAGTTCAAGGGGTATTGAGTCGAACCTTGAATGCATTTGTGATTCAGTTTAGCACCAGTCCAGACCTATGGTAGGTCGATACAGCCCTAGCTGGTATTAGACTATGAATGTTTGTTTTTGGGTTCTAGTGTCACAGGAATCACACGTTAAAAGGTAAGACCTCGTTAGTCCTTAGCTCGCACAAGTTTCTCAATTTCTGAGAGTTGTCGATCGTATGGATGTTAAACAGATTTTAAAACAGTTTTAATTAGATCGTAGATGTATAATAGAACAAGGGCTGAAGACACTATGAATCACTGAAAAACACCAGTGTTGTTGCCCATTGAAGTTGATCCATCACACATCAGCTTCTTCTGTACGTGAAAAACTAGATGAGACATTTTTTGACTTCATGAAATTTCCATACATTCTTATTCAATTATCTGCTGTCCTCAACCATTTTCAATCGATTTCAGGTTGCTATGAATCCCAAAAACACAGTCTTTGATGCAAAACGTTTAATCGGCCGTCGATTCGATGATCCCAAGATCCAGGAAGACATGAAACACTGGACCTTCCAGGTTGTCAACGACGCAGGGAAGCCAAAAATCCAAGTGGAATACAAGGGCGAGATGAAAAAGTTCGCTCCAGAAGAAATCAGTTCAATGGTTCTGACGAAGATGAAGGAAATTGCCGAAACTTATCTCGGAGGAAAGGTGTCTGATGCTGTAGTTACGGTTCCTGCCTATTTCAATGACTCCCAGAGGCAAGCTACAAAGGATGCGGGTTCAATAGCTGGACTGAATGTGTTGAGGATCATCAATGAACCCACAGCTGCTGCCTTGGCGTATGGACTCGATAAAAACCTGAAGGGCGAGAAAAATGTACTCATCTTCGATCTTGGGGGAGGTACATTTGATGTGTCTATTCTGGCTATTGATGAGGGATCCTTGTTTGAAGTCAAATCCACCGCTGGAGATACACATTTAGGTAAAATATTCAAAAACACTCAATATTTCCATTAGAAATATCAATTGATATATTTATCGACTAGCTGATACCCGCAACTTTCCTACCGTGGGATTTTCTATATTTTCCATTTTTCAGCGAAACGTTCTGAGGACATGTCGATTTTTCTTTGATTTTAAGAGAATCGATTCACAAATCCAAGTTTCAGCCAAATCAACTGAACAGTGTTTTTATAATTCATTCAATTGAAATAACTATTTTTTTTTCACGAAAACCTATGTAAATAAATGAAACACCTGAAGTTGAGTGGAGTTCACTGCAGTACAATAGTGGAAAACACTACCAAATCGCTTGAACCATTTTTTAAATTTCAAAAATGTATGTTTTTGGCTCTATTGCGTTGATAAGGACCCCTAATAATAATAAATCTTTTCTCCACATACATCTGAGCATCCTACTTTTACAATGAATAAAAAAGTCATATCAGAATACACTGAGTTTGCTATACATAAAGCGCTTCATAGTCATCTTCATTTTCATCAGGATGGAAATTTTTCCCTTACCCTTTCAACTGAGATTCGTCAGGAGGCCGAATGGTTCATAATGTAAGGTGTTTTGGTGGCGAAATAAATGTCAATGACCTCTATGCCGCTCTGGCCTTGTGTACCCCTTCCTGACTGAGGTATTTGATGAACAAACTGTTCATTCCAACAGACGTCGTGGGGCCTTCACTCAACCGAGCGATGGGGCCTTCTGAATCGAGTGGGTCGTCTAAAGTGTAACCTACAGCTTCCCTAACTAATGGGTTATCATGAGTTTCCGCTGACTCGAAAACTCTCTGATTCCTCGACTGAATGGACTGCCTTATAGTTACCAGCTTCAAATCTCTGCGAATGGCTTCATTCCCCACGAACCATGGAGCATTCACCAGCATCCTAAGAAGTTTGTTTTGCAACCTTTCCAAAATGGAGAGGTTTGACGGTTTAGCTATCCTCAACTGCACTTTGCTCTTGATATAATCAATGTGACTTGCCCAGGTGATTCGACGGTCTACCCAAAGACCTAGGTACTTGACTCGCGTTTGCCATTTGATCTCTCTGCCTGAAATCGTGACCCTTGTGTCTGGAGAAACTTTACGTCTCCCCAAGTCTATCGCCTGAGTTTTTTCTGGATTCACTCGAATCTTCCAGTCAAGGTACCAGCGTCCGAGGTCGTCCAATGCGCGTTGCATGTAGACGACCACCAACGCTCGACCCATGGAAGAAGCGAGGAGAGCCGTATCATCGGCGTAAAGGAAAACCTTCACGTGATCGAACCTCGGAAGGTCGCTCACGTAAAGGCTGTAATGCCGCTCTGGCCTTGTGTACCCCTTCCTGACTGGGGTATTTGATGAACAAACTGTTCATTTCAACAGACGTCGTGGGGCCTTCACTCAACCGAGCGACGGCGCCTTCTGAATCGAGTGGGTCGTCTATAGTGTAATCTACAGCTTCCCTAACTAATGGGTTATCATGAGTTTCCGCTGACTCGAAAACTCCTCATCTGCACTTTGCTCTTGATATATTCAATGTGATTTATCCAGGTGAGTCGGCGGTCTACCCAAAGACCTAGGTACTTGACTCGCGTTTGCCATTCGATTTCCCTGCCTGAAATCGTGACCCTTGTGTCTGGAGAAACTTTACGTCTCCCCAAGTCTATCGCCTGAGTTTTTTCTGGATTCGAGGTCGTCCAATGCCCGTTGCATGTAGACGACCGCCAACGCCCGACCCATGGAAGAAGCGAGGAGAGCCGTATCATCGGCGTAAAGGAAAACCTTCACGTGATCGAACCTCGGAAGGTCGCTCACGTAAAGGCTGTACAATAGGCGAGACAGCACAGCTCCCTGAGACACTCCAGCTTCGATTTCCCTGATGGGAGACAGGGTTCCTTCAACTCGGACCTGAAATGTCCTGCCTTTCAGAAAGGACCTAATCCACCGGACCAGACCCCGAGGCAAATCGAAATCGAGCATTTTGTGTAGCAGGCCTTCGTGCCAGACTCGGACGAAGGCTTTCGAAATATCCAGGAGGACGAGATGGACTGTCTTCCTGGTGTTCAGCTCAGAGATGGAATATTCGATCAGTCTCAGGGCCTGCAACTCGGTGGAATGTGCCCTCCTGAAGCCGAATTGTTCGTCAGGCAGAACATTCCGGTCTTCAACTTCTTTTGTTAGCCTTTGCAGCACAACACGTTCAGCCAACTTAGCCGTTGAACAAAGCAGACTAATCGGACGATGATTCTGGGGAAACAGGGAGTTCTGGCCCTGTTTCGGAATCATGACAACTACGGCATGCTTCCATCTTCGAGGAATTGTTGATTGAATCAATTCCCGGAGCCTTCTTGGGTTTGGAGGTTCTAATGAAACCCCACAGTTCTTCCTCCGAAGCTGGACGGATCATGTCGTCATCATTTTCCCTAAGGATTCGCCGAACCCGGTGTTCCAGCCGAATATCACGGTCAATATCATCATCCGGAACATAAAGCGCTAAAGCACCGTATATAAGTAAACAGAAGTAAATTCACTCCCTGTCGGTCTCTTTGATGTTTCAGGTCAGGATTTTATTTTTTGCTGGCATGTAGCAGGGCAGAAGGGTGTATGCTAATGAATGGTTTCTGCTACATTCCAGTAGCAGTATCAAAAAAGGAAAATATTTTTTTCTCATCAACAAAGAAATATTGCTGCTCTACAGTCACTTCGAGATCTTTTCTGGCACGTTTATGAAAATTAGAACCTCAATCTGAAATGATACCCTTAACTCTCAATTAAATTTTTGATAATTGCCAGCCTCAATCACAATACTTTTTATATCCAGTATTGATGTGGATGAATTGGTAAAAATGTATGCAACAGGCTGTTTCCAGTTCGAATGTATGCCTTTTGCCATGACTATCAAGGCATATTCTGTTATACAAGCCGTTTTCTTGTTGAATAATTCCTCAAAACCAACTATTCTATCCTTTCCGATATTGTAGAATAAGTGTGACTTGATGCTCATTTCATCGAAACAAATGTTCCAATCCTTATCTTGATTACTGAAGTTATTGATTTCTGATCACTCCACTTTATATGGTCTATAACAATTCATTTTATGATTTTCGTTATATGTTCATTACTTCAATCTTACATAATAAATAATAGAAAAACATACATTTTTCCGTCAATTGGAGAGTGAACTTACTTATGTTTACTTCTATACGGTGGCTAAAGTAACCCCAGCTGGGCTGGTCACAATGTTACGGATTGAAAGAATATTAGAGGAACACGACGTAAAACCAATATTTAGGCCAACGAAAGCTATCAAAGGGAGTCCAAGTTCAGTTGAGAACCCCAGAAAACCTTTAGTAACACTCGACGTATACCAGATTCCTTGTAGCTAAGGATCGGTTTACATTGGAACCAGAAGGAGAAGTATAGGTACTCTGAATACAAAAGAAACTATCGCTTCGGACGAACCGACAAATCAGCTGTAGCCGATTATGCCCTTATCTGAATCCGATAACACCAACTGAAGCTGTAGAAAGCAAGTGAAGAAAAACACTTCTAACTCGTACACATCTTCTGGTTTTCCCCATGAGGGTAGCTGTTATGGAGAAGAAATGATTTGAGATTTCTGAATTTAACTTTTAAAATTTTTCATTTTCGTTCATTTCATGAAATATTGTCCTACACTTATGTCTCTAATAGCTGATTGTCTTTTTAGGAGGTGAAGATTTTGATAACAGAATGGTCAATTTCTTCGTGGATGAATTCAAAAGAAAACACAAGAAAGACCTCAGCAAAAACACTAGAGCTCTGCGTAGACTCAGAACAGCGTGTGAGAGAGCGAAAAGAACCTTGTCTTCCAGTACAGAGGCAAGTATCGAAATAGATGCGCTCCACGATGGAGTCGACTTTTTCTCCAAAGTCACAAGAGCTAGATTCGAAGAAATGTGCATGGATTTGTTCAGGTCGACCCTTCAACCAGTGGAGAAGGCTCTAACAGACGCAAAACTAGACAAAGGAGCTATCCATGACGTTGTTCTAGTAGGTGGATCCACTAGGATTCCTAAGATCCAGAAGATGCTCCAAGACTTCTTCTGCGGCAAGTCTTTGAACTTGTCCATCAATCCCGATGAGGCTGTGGCTTACGGTGCGGCAGTACAAGCTGCAATCCTGAGTGGTGATACCAGCTCCCAAATCCAAGACGTACTACTTGTAGACGTTGCTCCTCTTTCACTGGGTATCGAAACAGCTGGTGGAGTAATGACGAAAATTGTGGAACGGAACTCCAGAATTCCTTGCAAACAACAACAAACATTCACAACGTACTCTGATAACCAAAACGCGGTTACCATCCAAGTTTTCGAGGGAGAACGAGCCATGACGAAAGATAACAACCTGTTGGGTACCTTTAACTTGAATGGTATTCCTCCGGCTCCTCGAGGGGTTCCCAAAATCGAAGTGACATTCGACTTGGACGCCAACGGTATTCTCAATGTGTCTGCGAAAGATAGCAGCACTGGCAAATCTGAAAAAATTACGATCACTAACGACAAAGGAAGACTGTCCAAAGCAGAGATTGATAAAATGTTATCTGAAGCTGAGAAATACGCTGCCGAGGATGAGGCACAGAGGTTGAGAATTGCTTCTAGAAATCAACTAGAAGGCTATATCTTCAGTGCCAAACAGGTAAGATTATATGTTCTGTTTACATCACTATATTGTTTTAGGGTATGTATCAGTGGTTTAGAAGTTGGATTTGAGAACAACTAGTCAGGACGGTAAAACATTGAAATATTCGTCAAAGGAATCATTACTTGACTTGAAAAAGTAATGGTTAAAAAATAATTTTTCTTTTATGTGAGTCAATATTCATGTGAAAGTAGTTTTTCTGGAAAGGCAGAGTTTATTTTCAACTAATTGCTGTATTTCTTCTTTCGGAGGTTCACCACATTTTTGTATAGAAATGGAGGAGAAGTGAGCCAAAATTCGTCTTTTCCCAAAACTAATCTTTCATAAAAATATACCCTTCTCAATTCGAAAACTTGTCTATTTTCATTTCAAAAGTCCAACACTTTTTTTTAAGTCGAAATATTTTTTTTATTTCAACGATTCGGAAATTATCGTATTATATTTTTTATAATAACCCCTTTTCCAAATGTTTCTTCAATGAAACGAATGCTTCTGAATTTTGCGTTTTGAGATTGAAGTCAAAGTTCCGAGTCTGAAGTCAAAATTTCGAGTCTAGAGTCCAATTTTCGAAATTGAAGTCGTTATAGTAATTCTTTAGTACTACATAGTACATCTAGTAATGGACATAGTACTACTATATTCAGTACTGGTGCTAAATTGAAACAATATGAAAGAATAAGTTGTTTTGATCAATCTGTAATTGCCCATCTTCAATTTTCAGGCTGTTGAAGATGCTCCAGCAGACAAGTTGACGGAAGATGATAAAAAGTTGGTCCAGGAAAAATGTTCAGCTGCTCTGGCTTGGTTGGATGCCAATCAACTCGCCGAGAAAGATGAATACGAACACAAACTGAAGGAGCTACAACAGGAATGCTCCCCCATTATGATGAAACTGCATCAAGGAGCACAAGGGGGTGCAGGTGGCAAAGGACCCACTGTCGAAGAAGTTGACTAAAATAGTTAAATTGTTGATACCTTATTTGAACTGAAATGCTAAGCTAAATATGGGATTCAATGTATTTAAAAACTATTTGTGCTGAATAACACTGGGTGCCATGGGTAATATAAATATCAGATTTTACCTAACTGAAATTATTTCAAGGTGAACAATTCGAATCAGTACATTACATTTCAGAAATGATTTTTTTTTCATACAATCGAAGTTTGTAACTGAAAATGTTTTTGTGCGTAGGAAGGAAATGAATAGAAAATCATTAAAACGCTTTTTCATGCTTTTGGATATATATTTTCGTTAGTTTTATTTTTATATTGGGACATTTTATTGAACGAAACATTTATACAGAGACGATTTATACATACTCGTAATGACAACTTGGTTTTTCCTAACATATCATAAAAATACACAAATAACACTAAAACTGACAATACTCCTCTTTTGATTTTTTACAAAGCAGACTAAGTGCGAATGAATTATCGCTGAAGTTTCGCACAATCCTCCATTAACTGCGAAAATACTGTAATAATGTCCGATTTATCTTCAATTCTTGAAACTCTCAATAGAATTCTACGCAAGCGCAGAAGGGCCACATATTTCTTGAAAAATCCGACTTCACTCTCGAAATTTTCACTTTTACTTCGAAATTTCAACTTAAGTTTCAAAATTTTGGGTTTTCGACATTATGAAGTTGAAATTTCGTGACTGAAATCAGCATTTCGATTTTGAAGTCTGCATTTCGACTTTGAAGTTGACATTCTGAGATTGAAGTCGAAGTTTCGAGTCTGAAGTCGAAATTCGAAGATCAGAGTTAAAATTTCGAGTCTAGAGTTCAATTTTTGAGACTGAAGTTGAAATTTTGTGATTGAAGTCGAAGTTCCGAGTCTGAAGTCACAATTTCGAGTCTTGAGTCCAATTTTCGAAATTGATGTCGAAATTTTGAGACTGAAGTCGAAGTTTCGAGTCTAAAGTCGAAATTCCGGGATTAGAGTTAAAATTTCGAGTCTAGAATCCAATTTTTGAGATCGATTTTGAAATGTTGTGATTGAAGTCGAAGTCCCGAGTATGAAGTCGAAATTCTGAGACTGGAGTTGAAATTTCGAGTCTAGAGTCCAATTTTTGAGAATGAAGTTGAAATTTTGTGATTGAAGTCGAAGTTCCGAGTCTGAAGTCAATATTTCGAGTCTAGAGTCCAATTTTCGAGATTGATACGAAATTTTGAGATTGAAATCGAGGTTCCAAGTCTGCAGTAAAAATTTCCAGTCTAGGGTTCAATTTTCGAAACTGAAGTCGAAATTTTGAGATTGAAGTCGAAATTTCGAGTATGAAGTCGAAATTCCGAGATTGGAGTTAAAATTTCGAGTCTAGAATCCAATTTTTGAGATTGAAGTTGAAATTTTGTAATTGAAGTCGAAGTTCCGAGTCTGAAGTCAAAATTTCGAGTCTAGAGTGCAATTTTCGAAATTGAAGTCCAAAATTTCAGATTGAATTCGAAGTTACGAGTATGAAGTCGAAATTCCGAGATTGGAGTTGAAATTTCGAGCCTAGAGTCCAATTTCTGAGATTGAAGTTGAAATTTTGAGATTGAAGTCGAAGTTTCGAGTCTGAAGTCAAAATTTCGAGTCTAGAGTCCAATTTTCGAAATTGAAATCCAAAATTTGAGATTGAAGTCTCCATTATTTCAAGAACATGTTGTATGAATTTTATCAGTTCGGACTTACATTATATAGCTGTAAATAACAATAATATTGAGCTACGTCAGAGAGTTGTCGGAAAGGCTAAAAACAATTTTATTCAAGTACATCAGACCCTGCTTCAGATCCGGAAACACTATCCCAAGCAGCCTCACGAAAACTAGGCCGCCAAACGCGGACTGCGATTTCGAAAGTTGCATTCACGGAAACCCTGTGAATTAGGCAAATCTTATATCGGTGAAACTTAGAGACCGAATTGCCGAGCACAAGAGAAACACATAGCGAGGAGAAACCAGCAAATCGGGAACAGCAGAGCATGTTTGGACTCATCAATATAATATCAAGTGGTTCTAAGCTGATATCATCCACAGGAAGGCACACTGGTTCAAGAGGAAGTTCAAAGGAGCTGCAGATATGTTGTTCAGGCGATACGCTCAGCTAAGCTGGCGTAGAGGTACGCAACATATGGAAACCTTCAATCAAGCGAAAAAAGGTCAACTCCCACTGAATCGGTGAAGAGGAGAGAGGAAAGAGGGGATAGGTGAAAGCGTTCCATGAATAGTCATTTTTTGGAGGAATAGTCCAGTTATCACCAGAAGACGATTGTGGATACTGACAATGGAAGTAGGAACCAATAAAATTATCCATGGAACGTTGTCAACCACTGTCGAACAACATGTATGTTTACGAGTATTTCGCATAGAAGCTTCATCAGTATCGAGCTGAAATATAGAGATATCATTTGCAAATAACGTCAATTTCCCAAATATATTCAAATTGAAAATAGCTTTGATAAATAATGAAAATAAAATAGGGCTCGATACTGAACTCTGGGGCACACTTATGATCTCCAATCTGTAAATAGTGGTAAGTTTTCAGCAACTGACAGCGATTCTCCAGGTAGGCCCTGTTTCGAACGGGCCACAGGTCTCATCAGTAGTGCTAAGCTGAACCACAAATGCATGGGATCAATCCCTCAGGAGGCGTGTACGTAAGGGAGGATATTCTGAAGTTTTAAGCGTTAAAATGATTCAAAATCGAATGATTTTGAAACATGTATAACCTGACAGGTTATACATTCATTTTCCAAATTGAAGTTGAAATTTCGTGACTGAAATCAGCATTTCGATTTTGAAGTCTGCATTTCGACTTTGAAGTTGACATTCTGAGATTGAAGTCGAAATTCCAAGTCCAAAGTCGAAATTTTGAGAATGAAATCAAAATTTCGAGTCTGAAGTCGAAATTTTGAGATAAAAGTCAAAATTTCGAGTCTGAAGTTGAAATTTAGACATTTAAAGCGATATTTCGAGTTGAAAGTCAAAAGTTCAAGTCTAAAGTTGAATTTTCGAGATTGAAGTCGAAATTTTGAGATTGAAGTCGAAGTTACGGGTCTGAAGTTGAAATTCCGAGATCAGAGTCATTTCGACTGTAGAGTCCAATTTTCGAGATTGAAGTTAAAATTTTGTGATTGAAGTCGAAGTTCCGAGTCTGGAGTCAAAATTTCGAGTCTAGAGTCCAATTTTCGAGATTGAAGTCAAAATTTTGAGATTGAAATCGAAGTTTCGAGTGTGAAATCGAAATTCCAAGATCAAAGTGAAAATTTTGAGTCTAGAGTTCCATTTTTGAGAATGAAGTTGAAATTTTGTGATTGAAGCCGGAAGTTCCGAGTCTGAAGTCAAAATTTCGAGTCTAAAGTCTAATATTCGAGATTGAAATCGAAATCCTGAGATTGAAGTCGAAGTTTCGAGTGTGAAGTCAAAATTTCAAGATCAGAGTGAAAATTTCGAGTCTAGAGTTCAATTTTTGAGACTGAAGTTGAAATTTCGTGAATGAAGTCGAAGTTCCGAGTCTGAAGTCAAAATTTCGAGTTTAGAGTCTAATTTTCGAAATTGAAGTCAGAATTTTGAGATTGAAGTCGAAGTTTCGAGTCTGAAATCGAAATTCCAAGATCAGAATCAAAATTTCTAGTCTAGAGTCCAATTGTCGAGATTAATATCGAAATCCTGAGATTGAAGTCGAAGTTCCGAGTCTGAAGTCGAAAATACAAGATCAGAGTTGAAATTTCGAGTCTAGAGTTCAATTTTGGAGACTGCAGTTGGAATTTTGTGATTAAAGTCGAAGTTCCGAGTTTGAAGTCAAAATTTCGAGTCTAGGATCCAATTTTCGAAATTGAAGTCGAAATTTTGAGATTGAAGTCTTCATTATTTCAAGTCATCAGTTCGGACTTATCTGATATGATTGAATACGATTTAAAAAATTTGAAAGAACAAATGAAATTCAAATGAATAACTTAAAATAACAAATATATTTAGCTGCGTCAGATAATTGTCAGAAAGGATAAAAAGAATTGTGTCCAAGTACAACATCAGACCCTGCTTCAGAGCATGTTTGGACTCATCAAACATAACATCAAGTGAGAAACATTGGTTCAAGATGAAGTTCAAAGAAGCTGCATATATGTTGTCCAACGATGCGTTTAGCTAAGCTAGCGTAGAGGTACGCAACTTATGGAAACCTTCAATCATGCGAAAAAAGGTCAACTCCCACTAAACCGATGAAGCGGAGAGAGAAAAGAGGGGATAGGTGAAAGCGTTCCCATGAATAGTCATTTCTTGGAGGAATAGGTAGTCCAGTCATCACCAGAAGACGATTGTGGATACTGACAATGGAAGTAAGAACCAATAAAATTCACCATGGAACATTGTCAACCACTCTCAAACAACATGTTGTGTGTTTACGAGCTTCATCAGTATCAAGCTCAAATATAGAGATATCATCTGCAAATAACGTCAATTTTCCAAATACATTCAAATTGAAAATAGCTTTTTCTAGTTCGGACTTCCGTTGTCTACTATATAAAATGATTTGAAATCCCTGAAACAACAAAAAAAAAGAAATAAAAATGAATAGCTGAAAATAACAATTGTATTAAGCAAAATAAACCTGAAATGAAAAAAACGAAAATAGCTTTGATAAATAATGATACTGAACTCTGTGGCACACTTATGAGCTCCAATCCGTAAATAGTGGTCAGTTTTTAGCAACTGACAGCGATTCTCCAGGTAGGCCCTGAACCATAATATTTGAGTTTGTCCAGCAAAGTTCGGTGATTTCCCCAAAAGAACGGGTTCATGACTCAACAACAGACAGCGCTGTTTCGAACGGGTCACAGGTCTCACCAATAGTGCTAAGCTGAACCACAAATGCATGGGATGAATCTCTCAGAAGGCGTGTACGTAAGGGAAGATGTTCTGAAGTACTAAGCGTTGAAATGATTCAAAATAGAATGATTTCGAAACATGTATAACCTGAAAGGTTATACATTTAAAGTAACTAATTTAGTCATCATTCATCACAGTCGAAAATATACATGTAATAACATATCAAATATCCAAAACTACAACAATTAATACTTATTCAACTTGAACTTCATTGCAAACTTTTCCAACTCCTGGCTCAACTCCGGATCATCCTGGAACTCAACCGAAGACATTTTCGATCTCTTCGCACTATTAACGTTGAAGGCCTTGGGCCGACCTCTCTTCTTCCTGGATTTTTCATTGATCTTTTCAAACTCTTCAAAACTTATGGGTGTACTTGTAGAAACTGGACGATTGGTAATAGGAGTGATGCTAGATATTGCGGTTTCCAGTTCTCTCAATTTCGGTTTTTCAACTTTCTCGATAGGTGGCGGTGGAAGAGGAGGTAACTTTCTAATGGATCCCAACTGGGGATTGATCATGAGGTTTGTTTGGGGAAATCCAAAGCGACCAAGAACCTATTTGAAACATATGATTAGAAATACGCATTGGTTGTTGGTTTTTTTAGAGAAATCGATACTTGTGACAATGAAAATGAACGTCAGATATGTCGGCATGGCGAGGTGGTAAAACAATACCCGTGTGACAGCGATATATACTTCAATTTTTTTGAGAGGTTTTTAGAATCAAAGAATGTAAAGTTTCACCGCCTAAATCGACGGTGTCAAAGTTTCTTTGCGGGTTTTCCGGCCGTAGCTTGTAGGTTTTTATGCCCGACGTTTCGTCTACTACTGTGATAGACATAATCAAGAGCGATGAGGTAAGGGTTGAAGTACTCGAGTTTTCCCCAACGCAAAAACTTCAACGCAGAAATTCATCTCCGACTTTATATTATCATAGTTGAATCCGTGGGTTGGGCTACCTATTGGGCGCGTATCCAGGTGGCGGATAGGGGAACCGTCAGGGGACTGGAGGCCCTGTCTGTGAAGCCAATGTGGCCTCACAAACGGAGACGCCAGACTCCTGTTCAGTGGCAGAAATAAGAAGGGGATGAGAACTGAAACCCCTCAAAAGCCTTTGCAAAACATGCCACCGTGGACCAGCCTACCCAAACTGAGGTCTAAGGAATCGTGCCGACAGCTGAATGGCTGCAGGGTGGTATGCGGTCACGAACAATCCCCTTGGGGAACTGGGCGCAACCTCATTGTAATCAGCCTACCTCTGGTAATGAGGGGCTCTGCCAGAGGTCACGAACCCTTTCCTTGCTACTCGTGGGAACACAAATGAATGAAACAACACTAAATCAGAAAAAACAAAAACCAATCTCGAGGATGGACAGAAATGCTCATTTTGATCTAAGACGGTGGCTGGGGATGAACAGAAATGTCCCCCCAATCTACAGCTTGGAATGAGGCTGGACGTAGCAGATCACCTCCAGTAGCAAGGGAACTTCCTGCGGCGGACGCCAAGAGCTCCGCCTTGAATAAAGGCAAGGAACCGGCTGCCCCTGCAGGAAAGATCTCTCACTTGTGCACCTCCACGGAGGAAACCCCAAAAAAGTTGAAGAAGCCTCCTCGGGAGGATGTACAATGGGTCACATGTGGTCTAAGTGCTGTGAGTCTACACTCACTACCCCTACTCTACAGCTACCAGATATCATAGTTAAATCGATTATTCACCAATATTTGATCAAATAATTGAAACTCCTAGATTTTCTCAATGCCTTATTGAATAGTTATTAGGTAAGTCTGACCCAGACACTGATTCTTGCTGGTGATCGCATATGATACGAGGAAAATTTTACTTTTCTTGTGGAGCTTATGTGGATATTTTTATCGTATGTAACCTAATAAGTACGTACAGTCTACCAACTACCAACACATAAGATACTGTTGAGACACCTTGTATTATAGAAACTTCAGTTGATCCTTTCCCTGTAGACATACGAGGGTGGCCTGAGAAGTTTCCGACCTCAACATGAAGATAGCAGTACTCTTAAATACTCTTAATATCTTGTCATTGTCCCTGATGAAAAACTAACCTGGAACGCTCACTTGGAAAAAGTTTTACACAAAGCCAGACTGTCCCTATGGACATGTCAAAGGACTTGTGGTAAAACTTAGGATTTAGGTCCAAACAAATTCATTGGATTTGTTAATTGTCAGACCAATGATCACTTCTGGTGCAATTACCTGGTGGCCGAAGGCTTTACAGAAAGCGGCCCAAGCCAAGCTCTCTGGCTTACAGAAACAGGCTTGTCTGGCCTGTCGGCGGCCATGGAGGTACTTTTAGATCTACCTTCTTTCCACCTTCCACATGCAGAGTGCAACAGACTGTTGGCTGACACTGGAAGTCACAGCATTCTGGAAATGACCTCTGACTTCATGCCACCAACTGTCAACTACGAACTGCCTTACAAAGTACTGTTCCCGAGTAGGGAGGACTGGATCCTTCGGGAGAAGGAAATATGAGCAGATAGTTGTTGGTTCACAGATGGATCAAAAACACCTTCCGGTTCTGGTGAAGGTGTATTCAGTCGCAGATCTAAGACAGGTACACAAGGTAATAAAAATATTCTCGGACAGTCAAGCGACGTTGAAAGGTCCTACCGGAGAACGTCTAAATTGGTAGCAAGGATAGGAAGACTTAACAGATTGTCTCTGGTCTGGATTCCTGGCTATACTGGCCTATAAGGCAATGAGGCTGCTGACTCCCTTGAAAAGGAGGGTGCTGCAAGCAGCTTCATCGACCCAGAACCTGTCATTGGCATCACTTCAGGCTTTGCTAAACAAAGATTGAACACCTGGATGGCAAAAAGATTCATGGACTTCTGGCAGAATCTTTCAGAATTGGCCCAGGCACTTTCCGAAGGCTAAATCCTACCAAAAAGATTATGGTTACTGTATGGTGGTCACCGGCTGGTGTGATTCGCTATAACTTTCTGCAACCTGACCAAACCATCACATCAGTTTTCTATAGCGAGAAATTCGACGAAACACCCGTTGGCACCTTGGATGAGTATCCACTGAGATATTACAAGTTAAAGTAGACTCACAAAAACGGTAAAAAATTTCTAAACAACCTAATAGTAATAACATTTATAGTGTCACCTGGGAAATGTAGAATTCTTTTTCTGTTTCTGCTAAAGATTCCCAAGAGGTGGTAACCGCAGATTTGATTTGTTGCTTTGCTGCATTCGGATACATCCAGTGATATAGAGTCCTTGTTCGTTTCGAGAAAAGAGATTTGGCGGCTTTCAGTATTTCAAGTTGTTTGGCTGGACTAAAGGACGTTGGAATCTGGGATGGGTCTTCAGTTACCTCAAATGAAGTGATAAATGAATAAATAGCAAACAATATTGGGCGTCAGATTTTGATACCAATGTTGTTTTCAATATACTCAAATGACCTAATAACCAATAACATCGCAGGTCAATTTACTGTATTTGCCGACGATATCACTATCATATGGGGTAATAAAGAAATTAATCAGCTATCAAATATGATAAAAATAGATATTTAACTAATTCAAGCTTGGTGTTACGGGAACTCCTTGTGCTTCAACCTAAACCAAACAAAACTAGTTACTTTTAAATGTAGAACTATTAGAGTGATATCAAATGTGTGACGATCCCGCTGTATAGATGTTATTTCGAGCGGTCATTTAATAAGTTTAACAAAAGCTTAACTTTATACAGTAGGTCGCACAGATCTTAAATATGGGTGGGATGTGTCTCTTGGTTAGGAATAAGAAACATCTTTTTTTATTTTTTTTGTAGTTTATTATTTATGGCTCCATTGATGCACAGTTTACATTGATGCACAATCTAAGAGGACACAAATTCGTTCAGTACATGAGGCATGAGACATTTCACATGAGTATCAGTTATATCACATTACAAATCTATTACTAAAATTACAGCTTGTTTAAAAAAAAAAAACTTACGTATCTCGCCGTAGATCATCGAACTTCCAGAGCACAGCAACTTTATACTTTCCGCACTTTTTAGGAATCTCCAATTGAATTTCTATTCAATTGGTTCGCCTTTTACTAATTTATAGCTACACGGCTATTTAACTGAATCTAGAATCTAATCCAGTTCTCCACTCGACTCCGACTCGACTCGACTCGGCTCGACTCTCTGATCTGAACGATATTGGCTATTTAACATCTCTCCCTGCCATCAAAGTTGGCCTAATTATCCCTACTCATGTCTTGGTGTACGTGAGAAGGTCACGAATTGTTTATAGATATTTCGCAAGATGATACACAAAGAAATTGCTGAGTAACCATATGTATATTCTGCAATACCCATTAATTTTAACGAGTTCCTCGTGCTGTTTATGGACCAAAACTGGACACTCGTGTGACCTCACGTGTCAAACAATTGCAACATCAGATATGTTGAAATTTCCCTCTCTTCTGACTGAGTCACGTTTCAGTTTTCAAGATTTGATAATTTAATTTTCTTTCTTGCTGAGCTCCGTGGTTCAAATGTCTAGGGCTAGGTAAGTGCACTTTTGATTGAATATTAACTTTGATTTTGGAAACTCATATATTTATTTATTGATATACATCTTTACAGCTACAATGGCTTACTTTGCATTGATCGAGTCTCATATTCGCTATGGAATAAGTTTTTGGGGCCTTTGTAATTTACAGTTACAGAATACGATATTTGTGTTACAGAAGAGGTCTTTGAGATACCTTGCAAAGTCTAAGCCGAGAAATCACTACAAGCCTTTATTCATCAGCCACAAAATATTAACTGTCACCTGTTTATACATAATGGAAATAGTATGCTTAATTCATAAAAATAAAACTAGCATGTATACTTCCGGAACAAATTGTCACAACACCAGACAGAACCATGTGCTTTACTTACCTATTCCAAAATTCACCTTGACTCAGCATTCTCTGATTTATGAAAGTACTAAAGTATACAATCACCTTCCTACCATTCTAAAAAATACCACAGATATCAAAAAGTTCCGAAGTACAGTTTAAGATCTTTTAATCAAAAAAGCTTATTATTCAATCCACGAATTCTACCATAATAACCTGTAAATTCTACTTGATTTTCCAATATTCAACTAAACTCATCTGTCTTCTTAATGTTTTATTTGTGAAATTGCTATGTATGTATTTTTTATATTTTATGACATGAATTTAATTTTTTACAAGACTTTGTCAATAAGATACTAATCTTTCGACAATAAAGCGTGTATTGATTGATTGATATTATCTGAAATTTAATTCGTTAACGAATACAAGTATGTCTCTTTCACGTAGAGTAATTTTCTTTCAATCAATTTTGAATAAATTAGAATTATAATATTAGGTATAGTAATCATTCCTAAATAAATAGAAATAAAGTGATTTCTTCTCTTTCTGAACTTCCATACTGACTGTCAGTCGATTCACAATAGTCAATAATTTCATTTGAATTTCAATGTTTTTATTCAACGGAATATAGAAATATTACATTATTTTTGAACATTTTGATGTTGAAATTCATAGGAAACGAAATAATGGAAACTAAAAGTAATGAAAGTGGAAAATTCTGAAATGATTTTTCGAAGCTCCTTCAAAGAGATATATTTTTATGAAAACCCAACTTTCCAGAACCGTGCGTGAAATCGGTTACAAGCAATTCGGTCTACATACATAGTTTGCATAGTATACTCACTAATATCAGTTTTCCTTCCGTTGTATAAATAAATTTTCTTCTTTTGCGTTTCCTCTTCGGATAATAATCCGTTTTTTGATCTACAAATACTCCCTCAGAACAATTCACTATCTGAAATGGTTGAGCCTGAAATAATTTCGTCAACTGAAATTTTATATTGAATACGAGAAATTTACTTATTTTTTCACAACTTGGAAGACGTCAAATTTAGGTCTCTGAAAAACATTGCAACCGCCTTGACTTTCCATGACACCCGGTACTATTTTGTACAACTGCCATATAAGTAATACTCTTCTGCACTCACACTATTGACTTTTTCATCAAACGTTATTCAAATAATTTCTTTTCACAAAAATGTTGTCCGATTTTGATATTTTGCCCCGTTCGGAAGTTAAGAGTTACGTCCACAATGTATTTGAAAACGAATTCATTGGACAGTTTTGAAATCTAGAAAATAATTTTCTCTGCTGTGCATGGAATCGAAATGTATCAACGTTTTGCTGAGCTGTTGTCAAAATTCAAAGGCAGTGTTTACCGGAATTTCTCCAATTTGACGTTATGCTTTCTTCTCTGAATATTCTTTGAAGTTATGACCGAAGTTATGACCGAAAGTAAAGGGTTCAACCTAATGTTTTTGTCAGTAAATAGCCTAGAAAACTAATTTTCACTAGATATTGAAATGTAATAGGTTACCCATATTTGAAATAAGATCTCACCTCTAAATTTGGCACAAAATTCTTTCTCGTAGGTATAATATTATTACGGCATGTATTTCCATGAGGAAAAGTAACCGGAACATCTAGTTTTGGAAAAAAATTATTGAAAGCTTCTGCCCCTGCATTTTCATCGATATCTCTACTCGGGAATGTCAAATCGACAGGCTCTTCATCTCTCGAATTACTTATTTGAGAGTAATAAGCATTTCTGTTCACAAAACTTGAATTTTGTTGAGGTGTGGTTTCGAATTTCTCTCGAAAGTGATAAGTGTAGCTACAATTTCCGAACTCTTCCTACAAACATGATTTAAAGAACTTGAGTGACAAGAAATCATAACAATTACCTGAATATTGCTACATCGCTTAGTAGCAGATAATCCGTTTTCGGTTTCCATTGAAAGTTTCAATTTCTTGCGAAATCTTGGAGACGATAAACTGTCAAACTTTTCGTAAACAAATTTAGTGTTTTGTTCGAAACAGCATGCTTCAAAGTTGAGTTGTTGTGTGAAATAAGACTCAAAAGTCAGATTTATATGAAGTCACAGGAAATTTGACAGTTTCGTGTATCTCACTCTCGAACTTGGTAACTTTTTATAAGAACTTTATATCACGAGTTTCTCAAACTTGCATGATATACACATCTTTGTAAAGAATTTTTTTTAATTGATTGATTGATTATTGGAAAAAATTATCTCTCCTAATAAAAACGTACCCCTTTCCCTGTGGGAGGGGCTACCTATCGGGCAAGTCCCCAGGTGGCGGCTGGGGGAACGGCCAGAGGACTGAGGGCCCTGTCCGGGAAGCCAATGTGGCCTTGCAGACGGGGTCGCCGGACTTCTGGTCAGTCGCAGAAATAAGTAGGGTGAGAGGAACCAAACCTCGCCAAAAGTATTTTAGTACAGGTAGGTAATAGAGGATTTTGTTTCGCAAAATTAGGCAAGAGTTATTTTATTGCATAGATAGTTGCAGTCTGACGTAATTAACCTAAAAACACAAAATACTTACAAAAATGGCGGACGGAAGTGCCGCCATTTTGGGAAAAATCGTTTTGGCCTGTATCTCCGTAACCGTGCACTTTAGGCCCAGAATTATAGGAACCTTTTTTATAGATAATTGAATTTTCTATTTTTTTTTTCAATACTTTTTTTCGTAGCACTTACTGTTCACGACTTATATTATTATTACTCTTTGTTCATTAGATTTTTACCGATATCTCTTCAAATAATCGTTTAAACAATAAATTGTTGATGATAAAACTTTTGAATCGATGAATTTTCTACAACTTTTATTCGAAACTTTGTTCTCTAAAGTTGATATTTTCGAAGTTACAACGCGTTCAATGTTGTACTACCGAGTACAAGGTTATCAAAAACGAAGTATGCATAGCGTAATGATGCGAATTCGGAAGTAATAAAGAAAATATGAATTATAGCATTTTCTTGGTTCAATAAATATTATGTGTCCTACTTATTCATCAAACTCAAACACCTGTTCATGCAGCTGCAGTTTCGTAAGAATGTATTATCTTTCCCTCCAACCACAAATAACAAGAAAAAAAGGGGCCCTGGAGAACTCCCTGCTTTATATCTGAATCGTCGCCTGTACATTGACCAATTCTCACTTTTTGCCTCCTACGTATGAGATAAGATCTCAGCAAATCATGTGGTACCCCTCTCACACCTTTTTGCTGAAAAAATTCCATTTACAGAAGACATATTTATTAAATATGTCAGGGGACGACATAGTTGCGACATAATGCGAGGCTCTGCTAGAGGTGACCAACTCTTCCCTTGCTACTCGTGGGAACAAGTGGGAAAGATAGCGAAAGTGTCGATGGTCATTGTCGTTTTAATCAGGCTGGAGCCTTGCTCACTTACCCTTTGGGCTGATTTTCGTTAGAGGGACAAATGGGTCATGACTGATTTTTGATGGTGGCATGAAAGTCCTCAGACATCCATACAGCCCTTCGCGGTGTACCCCTACCTGGTTGGGGTGAGATGGATGAAGATATTATTCATCTGTTAACGGAGGACATAGAGGCCTCATTCGACAGAGTGTCGGGGCCTTCTATATCGAGAGGGGTCGTCTACAGCGTAATCTATAGCTTCCCTGACTAACGGATTGTCGTGAGTTTCAGCGTAATCTAAAACTCGCCGATTCCTCGACTGGATGGACTGCTGAATGGAAGGCAGCTTCAAATCTCTGCGGATGGCTTCATTCCGCACGAACCACGGAGCATTCACAATCATCCGTAGAATTTTATTTTGTAAGGTCTCTAAGATGGAGATGTTAGTCGGAGCCGTTCGCCCCCAAACGCCTGAAGCGTACATGATGACAGACTTGAACATCGTGTTATAGATCGTGATTTTATTTTTTAGACTTAGCTTGGACTTTTTATTGATCAAAGGGTACAGGCTTGCCACCCGACCCTGGATCTTTGCCTTCACGCTTAACAGGTGCGGGTTCCAGGTGAGCCTACGGTCTATAAGAAGACCCAGGTACTTGACCCGCGCTTGCCAGTCAATCTCCCTTCCAGAGATTCTTACTTTTATAGCCGGAGAAGATATCGTTCTTCCCATGGTTATTGCCTGAGTATAGCGAAAGTGGCATGATTGGCAGCAACTATAAGTGCACCCTCCTCCTCCCCCACTTCACTTCCTGCGGTAGGCGCTAAGAGCTCCGCCTTGAATGAAGGCAAGGAACCGGCTGCCTCTGCAGGAAAGCGCCCTCACTTGTGCACCTCCACCAATTTGAACCAATTTTTATATTTTTCGAAAGTCGAATATTTTGATAAATAATTTGTTAGGTAATACTTCTAGGTAAATTAAATAATTGCAAGTCAATACAGTGGAATACAATAAAAAAAATGGGTTTTTAGATTCACTAATTCGTATTGGAAGATCGTATTTAATTTTTAACTAAATTGATGAATTTGTAGACTGTTAATTTCTGAATAGTTTCGTTAATCTGATTTATTGTTTTATTTCGAAAGTTTTATATTGGTTCTATAGTGTAAAAAATTATGTGAACTTGAGAAAGTTGAGAGATGAAGGATTTCCAATTGCATCTGTTGTATCTATCGAAATCTGCTTCAATCCGAAAAAGCGGTGTCCTCTTCCCTTACACCCAAATCCGTAGTCCCCCAGGGCTCAGTCCTAGCCCCTTTTCTATTCATAATCTATGTTTACGACGCCCCCTCCACCCAAAAAAATCCTACAATATGCCGATGATATAATTCTCTACTCCCCCCAATACTCGCATTTTACGCACACAAGCCCAAACAATGATAAACCACTTCAAGCACTGGTTCAACAAATGTCACATCAAAATACACCCCTCCAAAACTCAAACCATCCTAATACCATTACTCGCCCCAGACTAAATAGTAACAACTTGCACCTCACACTGTTAGGAGAGAAAATTCAACTTCAGGACTTGGTATCCTACTTGGCGGTTACTTTCACGAGTATCCTCAACTGGGAGACCAACCTTAGAGAAACTCTGGACAAAGTCCGGAAAAGAGCCAATATCCTAAAGGCTTTGAGAAGCAAGCTCGGTAGATGCGACAGTAAGACTCTTTTACACACGTACAAAATGTTCATAAGACCGATTTTGAATTTCAAAGTCACGATCTACTACACGCTCCTCCAAAGACGAACCCACCGCATACTAATAACCATCGGACGAATCCGACGAAATGTCCATGAGAAGCAACAACTCCGCTGCCATCAGCACCCTCACCACCCCTTCGACACCATGTGGAGGACCCAGAAGGATACCTAGGAAGAAGCTACCGTTCCTCCCAGCCAGACTCCTGGGAGCAGTGGAAGATCCGACGGAGCAAATTCAGGACATCCTCGAGGAGTACTCACTGGTGATCAGATAGAGGACAGCGCACGGCCTGGAACACCCTAAAGTCTCAGAAATACTTCCCCCGGCCCAAAAAAACCGGAACCCACAAGAACCTCCATGGACCCGGACACTCCAACCAATAACGCAACTACAAATTGGTTAAGGCTTTCACGGCCAAGATTTTCAGTGTTACGATCTTCCTTGGGGTTTGAAGACCGTCGTGGTTTGGAACTACATCCTAACTTTTCGCCACGAGTGGCTAGCTTTTTCAGAGGTCTATTCATCCTGAAGGTTCACCGATGACTAGTGATTTCTAGTTCGTAAGCTGTATTTATGTTGATACAGGTAGCCCGCCTTTCAAGTTGGTGCGTTGTTATTCGCCGAAGTGTTATAACCAGTTACATTGCGTTGCACTGCTGCCACCTTAGAATCTTTGGTCGAAGTGTTATTACCTGTTACTTTGCAGCAGTGCAACGCAATGTAACAGGTAATAACACTTTGACCAAAGATGCTGAGGTGGCAGTGTTGCAACGCAATGTAATAGGTAATAACATTTGTTATTACATGTTACATTGAGTTATTGTTATTACCTGTTACATTGCGTTGCACTGCTGTCTCCTTAACACCTTCGGCTGAAGTGTTATTACCTGTTACGTTGCTGCGTGGCAGCAACACAACGCAATGTAACAGGTAATGAAACTAGTCATTACATGTTACATTGAGTAATTGTTATTACCTGTTACAACGCGTTGCACTGCTGTCACCTTAACTCCTTTGGTCGAGGTGTTATTACCTGTCACGGTGCAGCAGTGCAACGTGGTGTAACAGGTAACAACACTTCGGTCAAAGATGCTAAGGTGACAGCAGCGCAACGCAACGTAACAGGTAATAACAAGTGTTATTACGCAATTTAACATGTATTAACAAGTAATATTAGCTGTTTCATTGCGTTGCACTGCTGCCACCTTAGCATCTTTGGCCGAAGTGTTATTACCTGTTACATTGCAGCAGTGCAACGCAATGTAACAGGGTCAAAGATGCTAAGGTGGCAGCAGTGCAACGCAAAGTAACAGGTAATAATACTTCGGCCAATAACAACGCACCAACTAGAAAGGTGGGCTACCTGTGTCAACATAAATACAGATTACGAACAAGAAATCACTAGTCATCGGTGAACCTTCAGGATTGATAGACCTCTGAAGAAGCCAGCCAGTCGTGCTGGCGAAAAGTTAGGATACACTTCCAAACCACGACGGCCTTCAAACCCGAACGAAGATCGTAACACTGAACGCAACTACAAACTAATGATTTTAATTTGAATTATTTGTAAAGGAACCCAACCCTGAAGAGGCATACACCTACAGCAGGCCCCCCACTTATATCATTATACTTATGTAACTTATACTGTCAACCACAAATGAATAAACATCGAAATCACAGAGAAAAATTATTTGAAAAATCTGTCCCATTTTTCTACAGCTTTATCTAATAGATCCTCAAATTTTTCATCATCTGAATTTGTAGAGATTTGAATGACTAGGTTTCTGTGAAAAACTTTATTTCATCATTTTGCTCGCTATGTTTCTCATTTTACAAAATATTC